AGACAGTTCTATGGCTGATACCATTCTTCAATGTTGCCCCGAACTGGAAATTTATAACTCACACTTTACTGCTAATTATGGTAAATGGGCACTTGGATTTTGTTGGAGGAATATATCACAAAGAAAATCCTGGCCACAATCTCCAAGGTGACTGTCCATTCGAGAGTTTGACATCTTTAGACCTTTCAAATAGGAGCATACACAATCTCATCAACAAGGTCAGTGCTGTTTATCACATTACCTTTTTTTCTTTTCTCATCAATTTCTTACTGGTTTGCAAAATAAAGATATTGTCCAGCATTGCGTCACCTAATGGTAAATTTGTCTCTTTGATTGGTAAAATACAATATTCCTCAAGAATGCCCTCATTTAGTTTATTTGGTTTTTCTTTATCAGGCATTTTCCCCTGCTGAATTGCCATGCCTTTCATATTTGAATCTTCATGGAAACCCATTAGATGAAAATTCAGTTGGTGATCTGCTGGACCTACTTGGAGTATTCAGCAGCTTACAAGCCCTTGATGTATTTATGTTAATACTAGTTTTCTTTCACTTGAAAGCATGTAATTGTACTAATACAGGAAAGTGATAAAAACAGGTTGATATTCCAGGCCCACTTGGAGATAGTGCTGTAGAAATTCTCGAGTCCCTTCCTCAACTTTCTTTACTGAATGGTGTTGATGCAGCCAGAATATTGGAGTCCGAGAAATCTGTGATTGATTCAATGTTACAACCACGGCTTCCAGAGTGGACAGCTGGTGAACCCGTTTCTGACCGTGTTATTAGTGCAATGTGGCTATTCTTAATGACATACAGACTTGCAGATGAGGAAAAAGTAGATGAAACTTCTGTATGGTATGGAACTTAAATATTCATGCTTGATAATTTGCTTTTGGTGCTTTGTATATTATCATTAGATATGCATGGAGAATGTATTTTTCGTCAATTTCTGGATATCTAATTTTCATCTGTCTTTAACTATCTTAAACAAAATTTCACATCATTGCTGTGGAAGTGTTTTCCACAATGCTTCTATTAGTGTCAGATTTTCCAGTTCAGAAGAGTCGTAGCAGTTACTGAATGTGCATGTTAGAGTCACAGGACTAGTAAAAACTCGTTAAGATGTGTGAGGATAGAGACTGAGAAACCTATTTCTTTCTTGACCCTCCTGCACAAAGAAGTGAAATACCTTCTCTATGGGACAGAAATTCTGATTCTTGGCTTTGAGTTTTGCTGTGGACTAATAGTTTATATCACTTTCCATGTTGAGTATAGTCTGCTTCACTGAGACTCTCTGTTAAACCCATGGCCCAGCATCTTCTTTCTTTCTTTTTTTAATTCTTGCAGAACAATTTTTATGGAAGTGTCAATTGGTACTATGCCTCTCTTTTTTTTTTTTTCAAATCAAATTCTTTCAATATGGCATCCTGCTTAACTGGAAGCAGGATATTGAATATGTGAGTGGCACCGATTAAATAGATGCCTTAGTTTTTGAAAGTAATGAGAGGAATAAATGGCACAAATTGCTGTCTCTATATCTGCTTGTTTTCTTTATTAAGTATTGTAGTAACAATATTTTGGGTGTTCTTGTAGGTATGTGATGGATGAACTAGGTTCAGCTTTGCGGCATAGTGATGAACCAAATTTTAGTGTCTCTCCTTTTCTATACATGCCGGGGGGTGACCTAGCATCAGCTGTGAGGTTGTCTTAATACACAGGCTATCTCTTTTTTCCTCTTCTCCTTTTCTCCAAAGTTGCATAGGTCCCATTTGTGTGAAGCTAGGTATCTAACTTGGAACTCTAGCCAATTGAGCTTGGAATTTGCTTATCTGTTATGGTATTTCTGTTTAAATCAGTGTCTTTTCCTAGATGAGTCCATGCTTCCCTGCTGAAGGTTGGGAACTAGATTTGTCATTCCATTTCGCTTGTGAAGTTTCTGACTTGAACAAAAATTACAGTTATTCAATTGTTTGGCCTATTGCGAACATAGAAAGAGGTGATGAGTGCACTCGTGATTTCCTTTTTGGCATTGGAGAGGAAAACAGCGGTCTGCTAGACTTACTGCATGGTTCCATACCCCTCAAAATTATTTTATCAGAGTATGTCCTTATGCCTTCCATTTCTTCTGTTTCTTTTTTGTCCTTGTGGTATACATAGTACTTTTCAGGGAGGTTACTTTTAAGCAATCTTGTAGGAGTATGAGAAACAGAGGCTGAAATTGCAATCAAAGAAGTTTCATCCCCTGCCAGTTGTATCTTCTACAACAAAAGCATTGTACGGGAGTGATGGAACTGCCTTGCGCGTTTACACAGATATACCTCAAGTGGAGGAATTTTTGACCCGGCCTGAATTCATAATCAGTATGTTTTCGTGAGTAAAACTTTTAGTTCATGATTGTTCTGGTATTCTTCTTTTCTACCGGCAGTTTGTCCAGTATGCACTTTTTGTTACTCTTATTTACTCAAGTCTAGTGATTGCTTCTTGTGATTCTAACTCGTTGAGGCCACCAAAATTATGTAATATGTTAACCTATTTTGCCTTTTAAGTGGCTGCTTCTATTGTGATATTTCTGAATTCAACTATTATTGCAGCATCTGAGCCAAAGGATGCAGATATTATATGGACAAGCATGCAGGTGGACGAGGAAATGAGGAAAGCTGTGGGCCTGAATGAGCAGCAGTTCATTAATCAATTTCCTTTTGAAGCTTGCCTTGTCATGAAACATCATTTAGCAGAAACTATTCAGAAGGTCACTGCATCTCTTTCTTTTAGCAAGACTAAAGGTGTCCAAGTCAAAATGTGTCTCCTTTTGCTAAATTCATCTCTATTTTTTAGCAGACTCATGGATCTCCTGAATGGCTTCAGCCTACTTATAATCTTGAGACAGAGCTTACTCAACTCATTGGCGATTATTGCATCCGTGAAAGGGAAAGATTGAACAATTTATGGATATTAAAGCCATGGAATATGGCAAGAACGATTGATACTACTGTGACTGGAAATTTATCTGCAATTATCCGTCTGATGGAGACAGGTCCAAAAGTATGTCAGAAATATATTGAGCATCCTGCATTGCTCAATGGGAGGAAGTTTGATATTCGTTATATTGTTTTGGTGCGCAGCATGAATCCATTGGAAATTTTTCTTGCTGACACTTTCTGGGTATGGCACTATCTTTACTGGGTACCGCACTAATATAATTGTGTCAAGTCCGTGGATGCTAGATACCTTGCTAAATTTATTTCTACGTTCATTTTTCAGGTTCGATTGGCAAACAACACTTATTCTCTGGACAAACATAGTCTTTTTGAGTATGAAACACACTTTACTGTTATGGTAAGTGGCTGAAAATTTTATGGTTTTTGGTTGCTTAACTGCCTGGTAAGGAGAAATTGCTAGATTAGATGGTTGTCACAACAAAATGCAGTTAGCAGTTTGCCAGAATGCAGATGCTGATTAATGTGAAGTTTGTTTAGGTAATATATGCATTTACAATTAGATTTCTTTTCATTGTTTCAGAATTACAGAGGAAGATTGAATCACATGAATACATCAGAGTTCGTTAAGGAGTTTGAGAAGGAGCATCATGGTACTTTAATCTTCCTATCTTCCAATATTTCACTTCCTCTAAGTGGGAGAGATTTCAAAGTTTTGTGGTTTTGGTCTATTTGTTGACTTTATTTCCTACACTTTCAGTTAACTGGATGGATATTCATTCACGAGTGTCAAGGATGATCAGATCCATTTTTGAATCAGCAGCAGCAGTTCATCCAGAAATGCAGAGTCCAACATCAAGGGCCATTTATGGGGTGGATGTCATGCTTGACCGCCATTTCCAACCTAAAATATTGGAGGTTGTGACTTATCTCATTTGGTCCAAGTTTATATATATACACACACACACACACGTGAAGTTCTGGAAAGAAACTTTCTACATATATTGTGGAATTGTGTGCATATAACATGATGTATCTGAAAAATTAGGCTATCACAAATCTATCCTTACATGGGCAAGCGAATTATTACGAATGCTGAACCTAATGATAGAATGAAGGTCCTGTGCTAAAACTATCATAAAAAAGCATTTGTATGAAACTCCCTGGCTTTTAAAAAGCTTGTAAAGATCTTTTAATTTTGCTTGAGTTGGACGTATTCAGAGGTTTTAAATATGTTTTGGATCTGCAGGCCTTTATACTTTGGCTCCTTCTACTGTTACAGTATAAAATTGCTTTCCGTGCTTATCTTGTTATTACTGCATTAATGCAGGTGACGTACTGTCCTGACTGTACTAGGGCTTGCAAGTATGATACTGAACCAGTGATCAGGGCAGGAGGATTTGTTAAAGGCAGTGACTTTTTTAATTATGTGTTTGGCTGTCTTTTTCTAAATGAAACTGCTCATGTATCCCCATTGTAGTTGAGTTACGTGGAAAATTCTTGTGGTATATATACCACAGAGAAATGATGTCGTGCGTGTCTTCATCCTCTCTTTTTGCCCGCTCCTAAGAGGCTCTTTGCTGAACCTCATCATGCTGGAGTTCGCCAACAGAGATCTTGGTAGGTTATACAAATCTTGTACTTGAAAATAGTAATGTTTTAGCATATATCTAACTTTTATGGTTTATACGTCCAACCCTCCCGTGTGTTGTTGAAAATTTCTGGACAACAAAATTTTTACATTTGATTTTAACCTTATTGTAACTTTTTGGCATACCAGGATAGAAACATCAGCTGCTGCTGCCATATAACCTCTCAGAATTTTATTTGCGCTGGAAGTCTGTCACTGCTTTGTTCAGTTTTCGAAGGCAATGGGACAGATGCACTAGAAACAACCGTTTCCGTACAAGCGCATACCATGTACAAATTAAAACTTCGCAAAGTCACAGATTTTCCCTTTTGCACTTACGTCAAAAATCTTCATCTTTTAGATTGGGGGAAAAAGTACGAATGATTAAAGAGTGTTACAGGATCTAGACGGTCATTATAAAAAAAAAAAAAAAGAGAGGAAAAACACGTACGCACTCCATTGTCCAGCTAATAACGTTAACGCCAATGGTAATCTGTACATTGGGTCGTCAGCTCTTCTTGCTGTGCTCTCCTTTTTTTTTTTTTTATCGACATTCAGTCATCATAGACTAGCTGAAAAAAGAAAACGATCGTATACAACATAGAGAATCAATGAATGAATTTGTTTCAGATATACCCTAATTGACAAGCCAGTTGTCAACTCGTCCAGTTAATTCCCTCGATGTTTGGCTTTTCATTGTTGCCAACTTCTTTTGCAACTCCAAATTTGACATTCGCTCAACCTCCAATGCACGCTCAAGCTTTTAAATCGAGAAATACATGTTAGTACAAACCATTTTACGAACGACGGGACAAAACTAATTAGTCATCTTAACAAGAAACGTTGGGAATTATACCTTAGCAGCTCGGGTACTCCATTCACCCAAAATGGCCCTCAGCCTTTCATTCTCCTCAATATACTGTGCAGCAAGGCCAAGTTGGTAATATTAGAATGCAAACATGCATTGCTTGGAGAGAACCAACACTTAAAACGACTTGTTAGAAAATTTTAGATTCATTTTGACTCTTCAATGCTTTTAACAGAAGGCCAAGGCCAACTCTCTCCCTCTGTCACAGCGGCAGACAAGTATATCACTCTTGACTGACGTAGAAAGAAAGCTATATGCACCTTAAGATTGATGAGACGAGATAGTCTCAAAATACAGGAACACACAGTGACAAATTGATGACAAGGATGCTTAGAAGTAAAAACCTGATTATTTGTACTCTGGACGCGCTGGATTTCAGAGTCTCTCTCAGAAATGAGAGATCTAGCAAGACTAAGCTCAGATTGAAGTTGATTCATCTGAAACACAAGAACCATCTACTTCATCAGTAAAGCATGGGAAATACATGGATTATGAATCTGTTTAGAAGCATTCTTGATCATATTCCTGAATGTCACAATGATTTAGATGGCAGTTGGATGCCAACTTTTTGGCCATATTGATCCTCATCATTTTACATGATTGAATAAGTTGAAAAGAGGGAACTGCTCTCCCGTTTGCTGTCCAGCATATATATGTTCAATCCTCTAAATGCTTAACAAAATCCACGAACTCGGAAAAAAAAAAAATCCATCTGGCCCATATGGGATCATAAGCAGTCCCCAAATTAAGTGTTCTACTGGGGGCTTATGAGTCCGAACTGAATCCATCAGGGTAAAATGTCAACCTTTCCACTGACTAAGAAGTTACTTAAAGCTCTGACTACGAAAAGTGCCTCTAAAAAGATCCGGCAAAAACAAAAGAGAAAGAAGAGGTAACCAAATTAAAGAAAGGGGGTTGTTGGGGGAGTGCGAGGAAGCAAGCAGCATGTACCTCAGCTGACACTGTGCGCAGTTCCTGGTCACGAGCTGCTAATAGATGAGCAAGATCAACCTGCAAAGCCAATATGAAATTATTCTACTACTTCCCAGAAAAATAACTGTCTCTTCTCTTCAGACCAAACAGAGAAGCTCCAATGTTCTTCAGTCAAACAAAGATACATGATGCAAAAACGACAATTACAAGCCACTTTATTACTTTTTTGGATACATCGGAACACTGAACACCCATAGTGACACTAAAATGCTTTTAAATCTTACTACAGAATCTACAGCTTTTACCTAGGTGCACCCCTTCCTCCATTATCTCAGGTTTCTAAATTGTCTGCAATCATCTCTATCCTAATGTACATAAAGCTGATTCCCACATCTGCAAGCGACTACAATGGTTTAATTCTTCACTAACATATTGTTCATATGATGCATGAAAATTCCAGAATCATGATTAGTAAATGAGGTGTATTCTCCTAGCAATTTACAAAGCAATTAAGTAATCATTGACACCGTTCAGAAAATCTGTTTTTCCAATTTGAAACATTACCTGAGGTGTGCTCCCATCATCAGACCTTTGATATTTGCTCAAGCATTCTTGTAATCTGAGAATCTACAAGAGAAATAAAAAGTTTTAAACTAATTTACAAGGAGTTTCCATTTCAATTTGTCAAGCAAACAACCCCTGACCAGACTGAGTAATTGACCCAGCATTTTAAGACTGCTAGTAGATACTGCTCGAGCTACAAGCCTAAAGTTCAATCATGTAACGACCAAATGGAGAATTAGAACAACAGCAGCTCCTGGAGACATTCTTTTGTACTCAGAGTCACCAAAAGCATCAATACCTTTGAAGAACCATCAAATACATCAAAATAATCACATACCTCCTCACTTAGAAAATGGATATTTTCTCGCTGATATTGCAGCAATGCCATTTGTTGATCAGAGAGCCTACCACCCTCATGATGCCTGTCACAACAAGGAGTTCTTACTATTGCATTCCACACTACAACATCCAGAACATACTTTTTAAGACATAAAGAAAAGAAAAGAGACATCCTTATCAGTGTGCTATCCCAAGTACTGATTTTCAGAATACAAAATCTAAAAAAAAAAAAAAAAAAAAAAACAGATGTCCTTATCAGAGTGCATTAAAACCAACCACGTCACAGTTGTACACATTTCAACTTAATTATCAAAACTCTCATCCTAGGAAAGTATTTCAAAAATGCCACTTTCAAACCACAATTGAGCCATCTCAGTTGAGCCCCAAAAAAATCCAAATCCAGGCAAGCTAATTGGCACAGAAGCAGCATTTGATTTCAATTGAGCACCAAAAATTACTCGCCCATTTTCTGCTTGGGTCTGCAAGCACAATAATGGCCTACTGTTTCAGTACTTTATCTCCATTTATCTGTGATCTTCCAGAGTATCGAATGAGATAAGAGCAATAATCATTCCCAAAATTAAATTGGATAACAATCACGAAAGCATTTATCTAGATGCTGAGAACATCTTCATAAATGCAAGAATTCATGTAGAAGAGAAGATTGTCAGCACAAATACATCATGATGTCATGGATTTGTTACATAATACTTTGCCTTATAGGCCAGTTGAACATGAAAACTCCTGCTTTACAACAATATACATTCTAGTTTCATCAAGGTAATACAATAATGACAAATAGAAAGCAAACTTTGGATTTGCATCTGTAGAAGAATGACCAAGAGGTGGTGAAAAAGAGTGTTGAAGTTTAAGCACACAAATAGACTTGGAACATCTAGTTTAGATAGATTGGTATCCAAAGTGGTCTAATATAACTCAAGCTCATGATTAGCAATTATCAGGAAGTTTCAAATGCCTGGCAGTAACAGAACGGTTTCAAGAGAACTGCTGGCAAAAAGTGTAGCAGAGTCATCAGAAGTTCTCAAAATGCGCTA